ACACTGTATATTCTAAGTGATGTTGATTTATTCAGATGAGGATGGGAGTGTATTTATGGACATAGAAATTCTGTTTTATATTGTATCTATTGCAAATGTAACCCAAGGAGAAATAGTCGAGTTTCAATAAAGAACGGAATTGGTGATGTATGTATTGGTACGTGGAAGGTGATTCTACGGACATCAGATATCTTCAGTAGCACTGTTGTTGTTAGGTTCCATCCACTTGGTTCCAACTCATAGTGACCGATGTACAACAGACAAAACACTGTCTCGTCCTGGGCCACCCTCACAGTTATTGCCATGTTTGAACCCACTGTTGCCCATTGTTGAACAACATACGGTGTTTATGTGGTAGGTCACTGGGTGGCCCCAATGGTGCTCAATGACTAACCCAAATGCTGGTGATTCGAACCCACTCAGCCATGCTGCAGCAAAGAGTCCTGGCAATGTGCTTCTGTAAAGATTACAGCCAAAAAAACTTAAAGGAGCCATTCTACTGCATAACACAAGGGGTCACCATGAGTTGGGATCAACTCGATGGCAATGGGTTTGGTTTACTCATGTGGTGATTAGCTGATTCTACCATATCTTAAGATCATTAATGTTATTAAGGAGGGAAAATAATCTGAAAACCTTAAATGTCACAACATAAGGGGAATTATGTCTAGGGACTGTTGTATTCTAAAGGAAAAACTGATATTTCATCACTGTTCTTTGAACAAACCCAGTTAAACAACAGAACTAACCCTGCATTAATTAGTTGTTTTGTTGTATGCTTCTTAGGCATCTTGGGGTTCAAGTACATTGGGTTTCTGGCTTACTGAACTTCTGGAAAGAAATCGCCAGTTTACGTCCTGGGTTTTCAGTGGCCGGCCCCACTGCTTTTGGATGACGGGCTTTTTCAACCCCCAAGGATTTTTAACTGCTATGCGCCAGGTAATAGCTCTGATTTGTACCCCATTGTGTTGTTATAATTTTCTTCTCCCAACTTTTCCTCTTTCATTATAGTTTTGAAGCATATAATAAGAGAATGACTGTCGCTTTTTGGCACTAGTAGTTACATTGTCATGAAAATAAATCTAACAGCTTCTCTGCAGACTGCCAGCTTGTACTTCAAAATGTTATTTTTATACAGTGAAACCTGTGAGAGTCAGAACTTGATGGGATAGCCTTGTTTCTCTCTGTCTCACAAATTTTCTGCCTTTAACCATTTTTCTATTACTCATTTTGGTGGAAAATATTTGAGTTTCCTTCTCTGACACGTTTCCACCTTATGCAGTTTCCAACTTCTGCAAGTTTTACTGTATTTGTTATTATATTTATTTTTAAAGTGTAACTGGCTCAATTAAGACATGGCTATTGTATAGTGAGGAGCTCTGGTAGCATAGTGCCTAAGGCATTTGACTGCTAACCAGAAGGCTGGCAGTTCAAACCCACCAGCCACTCCTTGGAAGGAAGGTTGGGCAATCTACTTCCGTAGTGATTTTGCCTCAGAAACCCAAGGAGGGATCATTATAAGTCAGGTCCAACTCGATGGCACACAACAACAATTGCTTATACAGGATTATTTTTCACTCTTTAAATAATTTTTTAATTGCTTTGGACTAGACTAATTTAGAACCACAGTTTCATCATTGTTATGCTCTATATTAATACAAACTTTTAATTTCTTCCTTAGTCCTTTGTTTTTGTTCTTGCCTTGAATAGGAAGTAACTCGTGCCAACAAAGGTTGGGCTCTGGACAATATGGTGCTTTGTAACGAAGTCACCAAATGGATGAAGGACGACATCTCTGCTCCTCCAATCGAGGGTGTCTATGTCTATGGCTTATATCTGGAAGGTGCTGGCTGGGACAAAAGAAACATGAAACTCACTGAATCAAAACCGAAAGTGCTCTTTGAGTTGATGCCTGTCATCAGGATTTTTGCAGAAAACAACAGTAAGTTGTCTTCGTACCTGTAAAGGTTGGTAGTATTGGATTGGATGACATCATAAACATAGGATCTCATTCTTCTTGCCACCGTGCAGTAGGGATTTTATTCTTTTAACATGGCTTTACATTGCTGTCCATATTTAATGAGCAGGCATTGACCTCTGGAAACTTTTTGGAGTGTCTATGTAATTGGCTATATAATTCTTGTTGTCATAAGTTGACTCTGACTCATAACACCTCAGTGTATAACAGAAGGAAACCTTGCTGGGTCCTCCACCATGCTCACAATCATTGTTATGTTTGAGACCATTGTTGCAGCCACCATATCAATTCATCTCATATCAGGTTCCTTTCCTTTTCACTGACCCTCTACTTTACCGAGCATAATGTTCTTCTCCGTCTGATGTTGGTCCCTCCTGATGTCATGTCCAAAGTAAATTGAAGTCTCACCATCCTTGCTTCTAAGGAGCACTCTGGCTGTATTCCTCCAAGACAGATTTGTTCATTCTTCTGGCAGTTCGTGATATATTCAATATTCTTCACCAACACCACAAGTCCAATGTGTGAACTTTTCTTTGGTCTTCCTTTCTCATTGTATAGCTTTCACATTCATATGAGTTCACATTCATATGAGGTGATTGAAAAGACCATGGCATGGGTCAGGCACATCTTAGTCATCAAAGTGACCTGTGCTTTTTAATGCCTTAAAGAAATATTTTGCAGCCAATTTGCCCAATGCAGTATGTCATCTGATTACTTGATTGCTACTTCCATTGGCAATGATTGTTGCCTATCTAGTACATAAAAGATGTATGGATACCTCTGAAACATTAGCCTATGAAATAAGAAACAAGTGTTTCATGTAGCTAATAAGTGGTGACAAAAGAGGTTAAGAAAGCTATGGGCTAAAGTGATAAGGGGAGCTCTGGTGGCGTATCGC